TTGTTCTCGATTTTCCTTTTCTTAGAGCACACTTGTTATTCACTGTTTTGTATATAGTTTTGTATTAAGCCTAAATCTTTTCTTTAGATTAAAAGGGGAATTGTAGTGAGATAGTTCTGTAGCACTGACCACGCCCATTGGAGGGTGGAGCGATGGGCGGAGGTGACCTGTGGAAGGAGGTCGGAGGGGGCCAGGAAAGGCTCTCTCTCTTTCTGGCGTGTCTCGGACAGGAGAGGATCGGGTGGAATTTCCTGGTGTTCATCTGTCTAGGTTGTAAGTTATTTCTCCCTGAATAAACATCTATTCGGCCTATTTGTTTATCCTGATCCTTATTTACCGCGATACAGGCTAACCGTCTTTGCTGCTGTGAGTAGAGCAGCGGTAACCATGCAAGTGCAGGGGTCTGTGATGTGGGAGGTGGAGGCTGTGGGTGTGTGCGCACGCGCCCACGAGTGGTGTAGGTGGGTCATTGGAAGTGCTAGTGTGTTCGTTTTTGTTTTTTTGAGAAACCTCCACACTGATTTCCCTGTCGCTGTAGGAGTTAACAGTGCCACCAACAGCATTCCAGCGTCTGGAGTCTCAGAGTGGCTTTCACTAGTGTTTCTCTGGTGGCCAAGGACACTGTGCACAATATTTACTGGCCATCTGTGCTTCTTTTGAGAACTCCGTTCCCTTCTCCGGCCTGTTTTAGGGTTCCGTATATTCTGGATTTTAATGATGTGACTCCTCTGTTAGATGTGTAGGCTGCCTTTTCACCAACTGTTGATGAGAGTCCAGTTGTCCCTCCGTTTCAGAGCTTCCCCACACCTGCCTGCCGTCTGCCCCGACGCCAGAGTGTTAGGCTCCTGTGCACTAAGTCAGCCGTCTTCACTCCAGGCGCCCGCCATCTTGACACTTGTGTCTTGCTCCTGGGCCTCCTCCTTGGGAAAGACTCCTCAACCCTCACCTTTGCAGTTCTGGAGTCTTAGGCCAAGCGTATCCCATGTTTTCCAGGAAAAGTTGGAGTTTAGGGTCTTAAAGTCTAATTTTGATACATTGATGGAGAATTCACTGGAGATGGGGATAAAAGAATGTTTTACTGCAGTGTTACTGTCTAAAATTCAGTAGTTTTTTCTAAAATGGTCAATAATTTAAAATATATGTATATATATATTTTACATACACACACAGACACACACACACACACACACACACGTACAATCAGAGTACCTGGGAAGATTTTTTTTCTTTTCAAAATTTCTGATGTCCAGGAGCAGGGATGACAAGAGACTGACGGAGTACGTGTGCCTGAATGCCAATCTGAAGGGTATATAGGCGCGAGGGGCCAACACAGAGGGTTAGGGTGTGGGCGAGTGCGTAAGGGAAAAGCAAAGTAAATGACGGCGCATGTCTGGAGATGTCACAGGGCAGCTCAGACTTGCATGCTAACTAAAATTACTTCTAAAAACAATCGGGAGCTCCAGGGGCCTGCCCGGCCCCTTTCTTGTAGATCATGTTGTGTTAGTATGTGTTGTATGAGTTTTGTGTATCATTTTAAAGTTAAAGCTTAGTTGGGTTTATTTCCCACTTACCGAGATAGATGGTAAGCACCGGGTAAGTGGGAAACACACACACACACACACACGGCGTAGTTTTATCTTTAAAGAACTGAAAACAACAGGGCTGGGTGTTTGAAACAGATGCATACGTTTTAAAGGAGCGGGCAGACAGACAGGACAGACCACACAGGCAGAGAAGAGACCAGGCCTGAAGGGAGGGACGGGGCTCAGAGAAGGGGCGGGGCTCAGAGAAGAGGGCGGGGCTCAGAGAAGGGGCGGGCTCAGAGAAGGGGCGGGCTCAGAGAAGGGGCGGGCTCAGAGAAGGGGCTCAGAGAAGGGGTGGGGCTCAGAGAAGAGGGCGGGGCTCAGAGAAGGGGCGGGGCTCAGCGAAGGGGCGGGGCTCAGAGAAGAGGGCGGGGCTCAGAAGGGAAGGGGCTCAGAGAAGGGGCGGGCTCAGAGAAGAGGGCGGGGCTCAGGGAAGGGGCGGGCTCAGAGAAGGGGCGGGGCTCAGGGAAGGGGCGGGGCTCAGAGAAGGGGCGGGCTCAGCGAAGGGGCGGGGCTCAGGGAAGGGGCGGGGCTCAGAGAAGGTTGGGAGAGGTCATGAGTGACTGCCCTGCTGTGAGAAAGCAGGGTTTTAAGTGTTAAATCTCGAGCGAACGTGGGGAACCGGGTCAGGGAATGACGTTTGCTGGTTTCGTTACACAATTATGTGTAGTCTGAACACACTCCTGCTCACGCCATTTAAATCAGGGTCAATTTATTAGGTAGTTTTCCCAAAGGATTAATTAAACATTATCTCCAAAATGTGCATTAGGTCTGTGGTAGGCACATTGCAGAGTTGCATATGTACTTAGTTATCTGCTGTTCACCCTGGGTTCTGTGGTGGGCACATTGCAGTTATGTATTTAGTTATCTGCTGTTCCCATGCGCTTGCCTGAGTGTGTCTTCTGATGTCTTTCCAGCTTTGAGGAAGACAGGACGATGGAGGAACCCTCAGATCCTCTCAAGTATGTGGAGCAGCTCCCGGTGGCTCAGATAATACACCAGGTTTGTGTCCATTTGATTCTTTTGAAGAAACAAGACTTTTAATCTCAGAAGATGGTGACTTGTTAGGTTTCAGAGTTAGTGTGTTCTGGGTAAATGGCCTTGTGGGCCTGTTATTCTTCCTTGGGTTTTCCTTAGGGTGGACATTCCCACTCGAAACCCAGTATCGAAGGTGACCTGGAGCGTGATGCTGGAGCTCTTCATAAACTCGGGGTAATCTAAATCACCTCTTACACATTACTAAACGTCAGAGCACTTCATTTTGAATGGCTGGGTATGGCATTGTTCACAGTGAGAAAGCTCAAAATGAATCATTAGTGTCATTTTTGGAAGAGCTAAGGACAGGAAAGTGTCTTCCCTGGTCTTGCCAGCCTTCCCTGTCATCGCATTTAATTCTAAATGTCATGTGGGCAGTTTGTTCATGTCCACTTATAACGACTCTGTCACCCTCCATGTAATGGTCGTTTGAGAAAAGAGTGTTGTTAGCATGAAGCTTAGACTTCGTACTGCGGCTGTGACAGCGCAGACCGTCTGTCCTGCTGGGCCAGAGTCCAATCACTTCAAACAGTTTGTTGACTGGCCTACAGGCCTAGAAGCTTCTTCTGTGTCTTAGAGATTGGGGAAAACGCTAAGCAGTCTCGCAGGTCAGACTCCTCACGGTTGCTGTGGGTATTATACCAGGAGTTTTCCAGTATTTTTCTTTTCAATCAGAAGAATTTTGGTTTAGCGTCTGTGGGTTGTCAGTAGTGCCAATATGAGTTAAGTCAAGGAAAAACACTTTTAATTGAAAATTTCACTATGTAGAGAACACTCAGCTTTAAAATTCTGCATGAATGTTAAAAATGTTTAGAAATCTCCCCTCTAGGGTGCTCATCTGTGTGTGGTAATCAAGTCTAGTTTATATGTCAGGGATTCCCAGGTAGACAGAGCTTAAATGACCTAACAGTCAGCAAATGTCATATTTAAAATTCTGTCTTCATGCCTGACTCTCAGCATAAATGAATTAACCAGCAGAGCAAGGCAGCAAGTCAATGTGCTCCTAACAGGGAGAGCACTGAAACAGAGTGCCCTGCACAGAGCAGGGAAATAGTCTGCCCAGAGCCCGCCACCTGAGTGCGCTCTGCTCTGACTGCAGAAGCAGGGATTAACCTGTAAGGCGGCTGACCACGTGAAATGTCAGTGTTTTATAATGTGAAGGGGCCGGTAAACTGCCTGTTTCTCTAATCCTGTTTGTAGTCAGACACTGAATTCAAGGTGAAACACTGCCCTCTGGTGAACATTTTAGGTTGTCGGGTTTTGTTTTGTTTTTTTTTTCCTAGTATAAGAGAGATGGTATTTAAGAATAAATTATAAATGGTATAATTAAAAATCTGATGTATCATAAAACATGTCATTTTTAAAGAAATTTACATGATAGGAGTTTATTTTTGTTAAAATAAGCTGGGAAAGGCCGCGTTAGCAGTAGATGGATCACCCTTTCCATTGTTGTCTATGTGGGCAGCTCTGTAACAGAGGTCCACCTCACACCCTCCAGGCGGGCTCACTTAGTAAGACTTTTCTTCCCTGCCCACCAGTTCCCACATAGCCCACCCAGAGGCTTCATATGAATTACAATTGCTCGTCCCATAGCTCAGGCTCATCAGTAACTAGTTCTTACAGCTTAAACTGGCCCTTTCTATTGAGTACATTCTTCCATGAGGCCCGTGGCCTTTACCTCTCCAGCGTGTCTTGCTTCCTCTCTGTCTATCTGGTGACTCCCCGGATGCCACCCTTCCTCAGCCCATTGTCCTCAGTTTGGCTGTCCCGCCTAACTTTACCCTATTCTGCCGTCGGCCAGCCAGTTTCCTTATTCAACCAATTGCAGTGACGTGTATTGACCAGTGTAAAGGAATAGTCCCCATTCATTTGTTGGCAAGAGTTTCTACCTCACCTGCCAATTCCCAAATAACTGACAAAGAGGCTTAATATTAATTGCAATATTAATTGTAAATGCTCGGCCCATAGCTCAGGCTTGTTACTAGCTAACTCTTACATTTAAATTAACCTTTTTTTTTTTTTTTTTTTTTCTAAATCAGTGCTTTGCAGCATGGCTCATGGCTTGTTACTTTATTTTCTACACATCCTGTTTCCTCTCTGTCTGGCTGCTATCTCCCGATTCCATCCTTCTTCCTCTCATAATTCTCAGTTTGGCTCTACTGCCAACTTCATCCTGTTCAGCTATTGGCCAGTCAGTTTCCTTATTAAACCAATCGCAGTGACATATATTCACACAGTGTAAAGGAATATTCCACAATTTGTCTTATAATTAAAAAAACTATCATTTTTAATTATTTGTATGTACCTGCCTGCCTGTGTGTGACAGTATGTGCACATGAGGACAGATAAGAAGAGCATGTCACAGCCCTTGGAGCTCTTCTAGACATAGAAGGTGGCACACAGGCAAGGATAAGGACAGCCCCTGTGAGCCGAACGCAAATGGCTGGGATTGCTCAGTTACCTGGTGACCTGGATGATGCTGTGAACTAGAGGTCACACGCAGCCAAGAGCCCACACCTACGTCAGACGCCCTGCAAAGGCCGCTTGGCTGACTGGTTGTAGGGAGATTGGCATGTTGCATGTTGCAGGTCTAGGGTGATTATCTAGGGCTGTGTTTGCCGTCCTTACATTCCATCCATCGCCTGTCTGTGTCTGACCTACCACCCTGTGACTGTGAGGAAACCCTTTAGGATGTAAAAGTCTAGCAGATTCCCAGTGTCCTGCAACCCTGAAGCCATAAATGTAGGATATTTTGCATGACATAAGGAGCCACCAGCTTAGAAGACAAATGTGTCTAAGAGGGTCTCATGAATTTCTGGGATGCGACTCAGTATAGAGGGTTTGCTGAGTGGACACAGCACCTCCACATTCCAGCAGAGGTCAAGGAGGGGAGGAGAGTTTCTCAGAGGCAGAATGCCGTCTCAGTGCAGATGACAGTGAATAAAAGAGCCACCAATGCCCAGAGTGCACTTTATAATTCAGTGAGAGGAGTCAGTGCCCATCGAAGGCCAGGTCACATTCCACCTCAGCAGTGGGCTAGACAAAAGCAGGGACCCCGGGGCTTTGCTGGGCACTGGCTAAGCTGCTGGGAGACACTCCATCTCAGGGATGAGACATAGAGTGATAGAGAAAGATACCTAGTATCCTCCTTTGTCCTTCCTCTGTGAGTGGACACACAGACCCACCCCCCCTACACACACACAAAATAGTCACATGTACCCGTGGACACACAGACCCCACACACACACATAAAATAGTCACATGTACCCGTGGACACACAGACCCACCCCACACACACATAAAATAGTCACATGTACCCGTGGACACACAGACCCACCCCACACACACATAAAATAGTCACATGTACCCGTGGACACACAGACCCACCCCCCACACACATAAAGTCACATGTACCCGTGGACACACAGACCCACCCCACACACACATAAAGTCACACTCTTGAACTCAGTTGGACAGTTTTTGAGAAGGTTAAACAGTTGTCATGTGACCCATTCACGGGTGCAGGGACAGATGTCCCCTGCTGCAGACTATGAATGAGCAGCTGCTGAGCAGGCCAGTGGAGTGCAGCGCATGCAAACAGTGGCACGGTGTGGAGCATTCAAACAGACCGACGTGCACGTTACCTGCGGCATGCATCTGCCTCCTGGTGTGAACAGCACACTGTGAAAGAGGTCACACATGAGCTGCCCAGCACGGCCGCTCCTGTCGGTTAGGGGTGGCCGGATCCGGGAGCAGGCAGGGCATGGTGCTTCTCTTTCCCAGTAATAGAAGTGTTGTAAATGTGATGGTGAGTATTGCACAGCTCTGTAAGCCACTGAATTGAAAAAGGTGAACGCTGTATGTGTCCACACGTTTCAAGACATTCACAAAATTCAGAGCGCCTACTTCCAGCAGAAAAGCTAGAAAACAAGGCATGTGGCTCTCTGCTGCCTGTCTCGAATGCCACAGGGTAGCTTCGTAAGTGATGTCTGATAGACAGTGGTTCTGTTCATGCGACCCTGTGCAGTGATGTGCCCACACTCAGTATGCTGCATCTACACACGTGAACACACACTGTAACACTCAGTGTCTACACACACACACACACACACACACACGTGAACACACACTGTAACACTCAGTGTCTACACACACACACACACGTGAACACACTGTAACACTCAGTGTACACACACACACACGAACACACACTGTAACACACACACGAACACACACTGTAACACTGTGTCCACACAGGGGAATACACACTGGGAACACACACTGTAACACTGTGTCCACACACCGGGAACACACACTGTAACACTGTGTCCACACACCAGGAACACACACTGTAACACTCACAGTTGAAATAGGATGCAGGACTTTCAGGTCCAGAACGTAGTAGAACAAATGGGGTTTTCTTTGTCTTCCTCTTTTTTAAAGGATTGAATTTTATTTTCATATCAACTGAATGTTCTTTTCTTTCTCCCTGTTCTGCCTGATAGCAGAAAATTTAATCTAACTGCTTACAGATAAAGTCACTCAAACCCAGAAATTCTCCGACTCTTTTCCGCTCTCTCTAGAATGATGGGTCGCAGTTCAGGTAATAAGGTGTGGCTGACGTGCTTCATGGTTTCATAGCTCATGAGACTCAGTGTCTGTCTGTTAGCTATGGCTCTGTCCTGGTAACCACTGATGCAGTGTGCATGGCACATCTGGACATACTTGCCATTTCTCCGTCTCTGGTTGTGTAGCCGTGAAATTAGTGAGCAGGGCAGGTAATTGGAGTGTCATGGTGGACTGAAGAATCACCTGGGGGATGGGCCTCTGCGTGCCTGCTGGGGCTGCCTTGACTGGCACTCTCTGGATGGGACCCTAGGCTGTCTTAGTACAGAAGTGGTGGGGGATGTGCTGGTGTATGTGTTTCTCTTGTTGGTTGATGAATAAACACTGTCTGGCCAATTAGG